AAAGTACATCTAAACACAGCATGCAAACCAAAAATAGAACAGTAGACCGTGAAATGTCTCAATCTTGCACACAGGCACAAATATCTTGCAATGTCTTCTTGTATGAGACAAAGTGAAAAGAACATAAAAGCTTCTGTATAGGCTGCTGTATTTTGTAATAACTATAATGAAACCATTTTCAAACCTGGAAAAACTGAACTCCTAAAACTGCTAAGGTCTTTAAAAAAGACTCCTAAGCTTTTCAAACTAGTAAATGCTAGTTTGTAAAGTAAATGCTTTATACTAGTTTCTTGGTGCTTGCATTACTATTGTTCATACTTGGTGTTTTGGTAAAACCCCTAAATATTAAACCTGGCCACATAGCTTGTACCGCACTGCTTGATTAATACTTTTCTATTCTATCAGACTTTCTCAGATGTTTATGTAAATCAAATAATCTCCCAAAATTGTGATTTTTACTTAAAGGGATATTCACCCCAAGATGAAAATGTTGTCATCATTTACTCAGTTACTGGTAGCCAATGAATTCCATAGTATTTTTTCCCCCATACTATGGAAGTCAATGGCTACCAGGCTACCCACATTATTAAAAATATATATATTTTGTGTTCAACAGAAGGAAGAAATTGATACAGGTTTGGAACAACATGAGGGTGGGTAAATGATGGCAGAATTTTCATTTTTGGGTCTAGTCTAACTATCCCTCAATAAAGAGCCATATGGAAAGATTACAAATTTCAGTGTAAAAGAATTTCAGTGTAACCACCCACAACACCATAGCATCACAGTAACACCCTAGGGTCTGTTTATAAATGATTTAACGCTCCAGTTGTCCTAAAGCCCTGCCATATGTCATTTTAAATATTATCTGAGAGATCAGAATCACGTAATTAATGTAACTTTCACATATACAAGACCTTTAAACTTTGTAATCTCCTTTAAAGGCATTCAGAAATGACTAGGAGTATAAAGTATGCAGGATCCCCGTATTTTCTTGCAGTTTGAAGCACTCAAGCACTTACACATGGTTTGTTTGAATCTTACACAGACATTTTATTAATCATTTGTCTGAATTTAACGAAATAACATAGGGTGACCATACATCCTAATCAAACCAGCACAGTATCTGATATGTTGCCCACATCACTATTTTGCACCTGAAATGCTCTGTACAGAAGGTGGTCCACAAACAGAAATGACACAAGCTGAACTCAAACCAAGGTCGTATGAATATAAACACTACCATGCAATTATGAAATATTTCATACTATGTAAAAGCTACAGGATGGAGCAATGTAATTAAAAAAAGAGAGTAAAAAAGTGAAGTGCTGAAGTCTACATTAAATGCCACGTTTTGGTTTTATGTGGTATTTTCCCAGTGGTGTTTCCCTTAAAGCACTCCAAGCAGTTTAAGAGCAACAGAGATGGAAAGCAGAATGACTCCAAACAGCCCGATGTATCCGTATGCACCACGCATCCTTTTAGCAGGATCTAAAACAGAGAAACAACACTGGTGATGAAGGCTAAAACTCAGATGAATGTTTGAAAGAACAACCGAAACACATTGAAAATTCATTGTTTTGTATGTGCATTTTAAAGACTCACCACCACTGTAGTAACCCCAGGCATAAGAGAACTTGCTTGTAACCCAGATGACTCCTAACACAGAGGCAGCAATCTGATATGGGAGATAAAAATGCCAGATAAACAAAGGTGAACTGGGTGAAAGGGTGTACTGTACATATGAGAGAAGGAGAGCACATGAAAAGAGAATGAATTAACATTTTTAACAGAGATTTACAGAACACTCATTACAAGGACTTTCCTCTACTAAACCCATGATTAAGATCAACTGTTTTGATCAAAGGCATAATGATTTTATTTAATATTAACCGTTGTAAGGTTTGAACAAACAACATTTACTGCCACAAGCCCAACACTTTAATGTGATAAATGCTTTTGTCATGTTTCTAAATATATTAGAAACGTCTAGTGGCCACTAAATATGATGGAAGATGGTACAAATTAGGGTATGGTAATGCACAGGTATATAAGGAAGGGTTGGGCAGAATTTAAGAACTGGCTCCATTTCAATTCATAAGCTGGAATTGCCTACCTTCACATTAAAATGAATTTTGAAATGGAACAGCAGGAAGACGAATGTGCTGAATTGCAATTAAAATAAATTGAATAAACTCACAAACACAAATCTTTCCACAAAACATGATTCATTTAGACCAAATCTTGACAAAATGCCGACCACAATGTTTGAAATGATATCCAAATTGTGGGTATTCCACGACATTCTAGATTCCACTTGCAGCAGTTGCGTGAGTTTCTTTGAATTATTGCACACAACTGTGATACTCACAGGATACTCTAATGCAGCAATAGTCTGGAACACCAGCCACTGTGGATACACCTCCAGTGTGTTCTGATGAGCTCTCTGAATGCAGTTGAACACTTGCTCCTTATCACTGTACATGGTGGGATACTATACACAAAACAAGAGAGCAGAAAAATACATTAAACCAATAAATCATGCATTGGTTGCAAACAAGAAATCAAAGTTTACTATGCATCAGTATAATTTCAGGCAATGAAACAACATGCACTGCATGTGAAGCCTTATCGTACCTTTACTCCAAACTTCTTCCGTGCACCACCAACTTGGACCCCGAGATACATCAACATCACAAAACTATACAAATACGTAAAAATTGCATAGCCAAAGTTGGCTGGAAGCAGGCTTTCGACCGCCATTTTTAGATGTAATGTTCAGAATTCTGTATCAAGCACGAGCCTTTCTTCTTGTATTTGAAGGAGGGGAATGCTGAATCATGCAGCTCACGCACGGTGAGTTATTTGTGTTAAAGGCGAGTTCACAGGAGACCCTGATAAAACCTCGCGATAAAACGCGAGAGACTGTTTGACAGTACTTCAATGGGGATTATTAGTGTTAAACAACCCGATGAAAACACTATACATATATCCTCCTGGGACCCAGGCATAGACTTTATCCTCTGTAGAGTAGAGGACATTATATGTGAGTGAATTTCTCTGAGACCCTACATGCCACAGTTTTAAGTCTGGATGTGCTTTTCGGAGATATCAAATGTTTGGAGGTTTGATCAGAAACACCCTCTCTCCTTGGTCTTTAAATATGACTGATATTGACAGAATGATTAAATGTAGCACTCTTAGGGAAATATGAGAATGTTTTGTAATTATCATTGAAATCTTACTAATTTTCAAATTGTTTGTCATAAAAAAACTTCTCAGAAAAATGTGATGGGGTTTCAAATCGGAATATGACTTTTTGTTACGAAACGGGGCATAATTTTAATTCATGTCTTTTGTAGAGGACACCAGGACAAACATGTTAATCGGGCATTTTGGGGAGACACAACAAGTCAATAGGGGAAAAAATTATAGATCAATATTCCTATGAAATATGAGATATTCTTATGAAAACGTTATTACTCCCATTATAACACTTATTTTTTCATTATGGTTTGCCCCAAGAACACATTAATATGCAAATTAGGTGCAATGTATAGACACATTATATTGAATGGGAATACCAATTTATGGATATTTTACGCACATATTCCATAAAGTACAGTAGTATATCAAACCATTTTGTTATATCTTTCATAACATAGTTGAGAATCATCTTTGCACAAAGTTTGGTTAAAAATAGCCTGAAACCTAAAAACTGATTGGTGAATGAAAAAAATAAATAATTGTTTTTGCATATACATGCCTTCTCTCATGTCTATTTATTTATTTGAATGATTTTGTCCTGGCGTCCTCTACAAAAGACATAGAATAAAATATGAATAAAATATCTTTTTTTCAAAAATGTCTTTTTTTAATTTGTTTCTTATGCTCCAACCAGTGTAATTATGACAAAATAATAATAATAATAATAATAATTCACAAAACTTGTTTATGGTTCTCAGGAGTATATAACTACATTAAACAATATGTAAATGTGAAGTAAATATACGACAGTGTTTCCAGTTATTAACCTAGTCAAGTCTTCAGCATGTAGATGTCGATTTATATATATTTTTTTATTATTATTAAAATAACTCAGTTAACATAAAAACGGTTAAAAATATAGTGATTTAAAAATAAAAAATCATGTCTATCAAACCATAAATATGTAGCCCTAAACACTGTTACGTTGATGAAGTTTCTAGAATACCACCCTGATTCTGTTATAGTGAGGTTATGATAACGTTGGTTAATTATTATAGTGTTTCTTGCGGAATGTTCTTGATTCGAGTCTGTTGTGTAATTTGATTGACAGGAGGGGCGGAGACTGTGTTACACAACGGCAACTGACCTACTTTCAGTTCCAGCACTTTCTCCTTTAAAGGGGGAGGGATCTTATCTATGCACAATCAGCTTGTAACACTCCAAAGAGAAAGGAAAACTTGAAATCGCATCATATGACCCCTTTAATGTCTTTATTGTTGTAAAGTTTCATTAGAAAATATGGCTCTCATTATGATTTGAATAAACTAAATATTTAACCAATAAATTAATGTCCTTGTTTTTAAAATGAAAACAATTTCCGTTGATGCCAAGTTTATTCATCATAGCACATTAAGAAAATTGTTTCGTATTGCAAGTTATCTAAAATGGTGATTAAATACACAAATATTGATATGAAAATGTACAAAGTTTAATACATTTCCAAAACTTAAGACTCAGAAAACTCAGAAAAGAAATTTCTGAAAATTGGAAAAAGCCAGTTTAAAAAATCTGACGTGTTTAGAATTATATTTTTATTATTTTGAATATTTGTTTTTATAACTCCATAAAGCACAAATTATTGTCAACAGCCAAGAAAAAAAATCACCATGGTTTTAGGAATAAAAATTATATCCACTAGGTGAGAATGCTACATGAACAAACCCCTGGCCTCTGTTAAAACCTGCAGAATATAGATATTAAATAATCAAATTTCTTGATTGATTTACCTGTTAGTTCATGAGTAATGTCTGATGCTTTGTGTTTGTAGGTTTGATTATGAAGGAGACCAGCCCTGGACGTCTCAGTGAGGGTGTGAAGCTCATCTTTGATCAGAAGGCTCCATCCGGTCGCAGTTCCTCTCACTCTCACAGCAGCAGCAGCGACAGCTCGTACTCCAGCAGCAGGGGAAGCCGCTCCTCCCGCAGGTCACGGAGCTCATCCTCCGACAGTGGCTCTTCCTCACGTTCCCGCTCCCATCCACGCTGCTCGGGCCGCTCACGCTGCCGTCACAGACACCAATCTCCTCCTCGCCGCTACCGGGCTCGCTCCCGCTCCTACAGCCCTTCTCCTGAGCTTTCCTCCCACCACAGACGCTCCTATCGCCGCAGTCGCTCTCCATCCCCCTACAGCTACTCCAGACGCTGCAGGCGTTCTCCGTCCCGATCCCGCTCTCGCTCTCGCAGTCGCTCTCCGGTCTACTGGAGGGGAAGCAGGTTCGTGGAGAGGTACCGGTGCCGTTTCTCCCGCTCACCCAGGAGCTCCAGAGATTATAGAAGCCGGTCTCGCAGCCGTGAACGCTCTGCAGTCCGCCTCAGCCTTGAGGGTAAGATCAGCTTTGCTTTAATTATTGTATCAGCTAAATGGAAGACAAAAGGAGATTTGAAAGATTTTAAGTTTTTTTCATACAAAGCAGTTCATGGTGACCATAGTCTCGCGTAGCCAGACCTTCAGACTGACGGCTGAAGGTCTGGAATCCATGGCAGCTTTCATTGACCAAGGCCCGCCCATGAGGCCGTTTGACCGACATGTCAAACAACCAATCACAGTTCGTTTCGTTCAGCGCCACGTTTCGGGGCGTGAAAATGTCACGACAATAACAATGTGTAAAACTCGGACATATTTTAAAGATTCTATGCCGCGAACTTTAAATATTTCACATACCTTTGAAAATCCAGGGTTTAGTTGATCATGATAAACGCTCATTGTCACAGTTGTAAACACGACGGCTTTCTTCTTTCGTGAGGGGGTTTGGCTTCACGGCATCTTTGTTTCCAGGCAGAACGTTAAAGAACGCGACACACGTCTCACGGAAATCCTATATAATTCAACTAATCCGATGACGACTTCGAAACTCCTGAAGTGTTTCCACTTTTGTGTGCCTTATGCATCAGACGTTCAGCCAACGGTCCGTGGGTGTGACGGCTGAGACTATGGTGACCACAGCTCTTAATAACCTAAATTTCAATCGGTTCCTCACACCACAAGGTATCATTTAGCTTTAGAAGACTTTGAATACACTGCATGAATAGTAAGGATAACTTTTGATGCTTTATTTCTGTTTTTTTTTTTCTTTTCACTTTTTGTTTTCCATGCAAAAAATAACAGCAATACATTTTTTTCTTCCTCACTAAGTTTTATGCTTGTCAGTTACAAAAAAATAACCTCTTCTTTCTCATTAGGTTTTATACTTGTAAGTAAAAAAAAAAAAAAAAAAAAGTTAAATACACAAGTTGTAAAAAGAATATTTGACTGTGACTGTGGAGGTAAATGATAGAATCTCCGTCTTAATCTTCCACAGAGAAGAAATATCTGTTGAATGTCGCCAAAGCAAATGCCGCCAGGATTTTGGGAGTGCAGAACTTAGAGCTGCCAGCTAGCCTGAAGGAGGAGGAGGAGAAGAGGAGATCTTCATCAGATAAAGAGGAAAGGGTGAGCGCTGACCCAGCACCACAGAAGACATCAACACAGGTGAGCCTCACACATATGACTACAGATGTGTTACTAACACACACCCAGTGTTTGTCAGACATCTGTAATGTTGCATGAACGTCCTGAGTCGTTGACAGTATTCTGATTTGTTCTTCAAGTTATATCTATGATCTCGGGACATTGACTAACCCATTGAAACGCATCTATTTAATATGTGATTGCGCGCTGTACTTACCCAACCTGGGTCACCATGTAATCTGTCTCCTCAGACATGAGTGATTTTACCTGATGGATTTAATGGAATGATGAACAGCACTTGTTTGGATTAGGTAATGGTACACATTAAAGAGTATGTACTACTTTGTAGAGTGTGTGTGTATGCGTGTGAATGAATGAGCACATGGCTATTATTCCTCACTGTATTGAGGAGTGGCATTTAGCTTCAATTGCTTTGTTTTCTTGTATCGTTTCTGTTCCTGTAGAGCTGAAACTCCTCCACCCTTTGGACAAAGAGGGAGAGGGGGAGGTCACATGACTTGAATGACACCAGGTTTAAGTCTTATGTGCACAACTGCAAAGGTTAAGTAATTGTGTACAATGTCAGCGGTAGCCTTGTGTCGCACAAAAACAGACCACATGCATTTGCCTGATTCACCTCACACAACATTTTCAGCCACCACACAACAGCACATGCGGAAAGGTTTGGGGTCAGTAGAATTTTTTTAATTTTTTTTTAAGAAATCAATACTTTCAGCAAGGACACATTGAATTGATCAAAAGTGACAGTAAAGACATTTATAATGTTGAAAAAAATTCAGTTCTTTTGAATTTTCTATTCAAATAATCCTGAAAAAATGTATCATGGTTTCCAGAAAAATATTATGCAGCATAACTGTTTAACACTGATAATGAATGTTTCTTGAGCAGCAAATCAGCATATTAGAGTGATTTCTGAAGGATCATGTGACATTGAAAACTGGCGTAATGATGCTGAAAATTCAGCTTTGCATCACAGGAATAAATTAAAATTATAATATATTCAAGTAGAAAACAGTTATTTTAAGTTGTAATATTTCACAATATTACTGTTTTTACTGTGTTTTTGATCAAATAAATGATTTTTAGTGAGTATATGAGACATAAAAAAAAAAATCACACCAACCCCAAACTTTTGAATGGTAGTGTATCTTTACAGCTGTTAGAACTACAGAAAATGACTTATGTTTGCTGATCGTTGAACTGGGATGCGTTGTCATTTACCAGAGTTTTCATCTGTTCAGCGTGTTTGAAGACCAGAGAGAGAGAGAGCTCTGCGGTGATGGATGGGGGTTTGGAAAAATATACTCATCAATGTCTCATAAATTAGTAATTTGGACTTTGTTCATTCAAGCAGCAAAAATCCAAATGATTATTATTTTTATTTTTTTATCTTGTTTTTCCATTTTCTTCCCCCCATTTCAGAGCTGTTTAAAGAATTTAAAGGTAATTGTGACTTTTTATTTCAAAATTCTGAATTTATCACAATTGTTTATATCTGACATTTAAGACTTTCCTCACAAAAATACAAGATATAAACTTGGAAAATGTATATCATGCAAAATCGCATGCATTTGAATACTGCGTTTTGGTTAGATTTTTTTTTTTTTTACTTTTTTTTTTCTTATTCAGACTCCTATGATTTAGATTCATATGAAGTGTGAACAAGTGAACTATTTCACACACTGCATATGCATAAATGTATAAATAGTGATACCTCAGGAGTTGCTATTGTGTTTAAAATGACAGTGCAGACAGTCAGTCTCAAATTGATGGTCTTGATTTGAGAAACAAATTGGGATTGGGTGCCATGTGAACAAAGCCTTTGTGTACAGATTTTAATTTTTGCTTGTAAAAATGGCTTTTTGTACTATTAAAAAAGCAAATGGGTAAAACCCAAATGGTGTTTTTGATGTCAGACTGATTTGACAGCAGCTGGCATTACACAGGTCAGAGTCCCTTCAATTAGCTTCTTTTGCATGACTTAAACACCGAACTGAGGGTATCCTCACTTAGAAATGAAAATCATGTGTTACTGAAGTTAGGTTTACATCAAACAGACAGCGATTTCATTAGACTTTTCTCTGTCTTTAGGTAAACGTTGCCAATGATGATGTCAAGGCAGAGACTTCTCCAACATCACCCAAGAGAAAGCCAATTACCTTCAACATCAACGTAAGTTCATGAGACCTTACTCCATTATGATGACTGTAAGAGTATACTGAAATATTAAAATTGATCTTAACTCTTTATACTGACAGAATACCATTGCCAAACCATCAAACAGCCCAACGCTCCATGACAGTAAGGTAACGTCAAGAGCCGACAGCGTAGCAGACAAGAAGCCATATGGACAGTGGGTCCCCATCAGCAGATCCTCTTCTAAGAAATAATTAACACTGAGATTCAACAGTGATGTAAAAAGACTGTATATAGTGTAAATAGTTTGTGTAGAGATCACTTGGGTGGGTGGTTAGGGAACATCTGAATTCATCATAAACGTTTTCTTTCAGATATAAAGTGGGTTTTGTGGAAGGCGGCAAGAGGATGTCAAACAGGTGGGAAATATTGTGTACTTTTTGGTGTTTTTGTGCTGTACAGTGGATGTTTCTAAATAAAAATGCAAAAAAAAATGCTGGTGTATTTATTTTTTATTCTTTCAGAAATTATATTAACGATTTCATGAGGTTATTATAAATGAATATTTTGAATTTAGTTGAAACTTTAGTTGAACATTTATGAAGTGTACAATGATGGGGATGCAATTTAATCTGACATCAATACTCTATCTCACCAGATGATAAACCACTAGATTAATATCACCTGCTACAGAATTTGTAGAATTGCTCACTTGCCTTTTGCACAGTTATCTAATAATTAGGTAAAATTTGTTACATAAACAATAATGCTCACTGATCAGGCCATGTCCACACGTACACGGGTATTTTTATAAACTGATTTTTTCCTTCTTCCGTTTTAAAAAAACTTCATAGCAAACGCATGCTATGAAGCACTGTCAAGAGCATGCCAAACCAACAGGTGGCGATATAATCTCAACCGTAAAGCCATGTTGGCCAATCAGAAGCCTGAAAAAGCTTCCAGTAGGCGGAGATAACAGCGTTGTCACAAGCCACAGCCAAAACTTTGCCAAAGCCAAAAACTCCAGTTTCGCGGTCTACATGATAACACTGCAACCAGAGTTTTTGAAAATATTCACCCTGGCAGGCGTTTTCAAAAATGTTCGGTTTCAGTGAACTGGTGCTGCGTTTGCGTGTGGACGAACGGCCAAACCGCGTAGAAAAAGCTGCGGTTTTACAAATAACCGCGTTCGTGTGTACAGGGCCTCAGTTAATGGCACAAAACCTGCCAAGAACATGTCGGAGCCATATTGTAGCCATATATGTATAATTTATTTGATTCAGGCATGAAATGTGATCTGTACACGTTTTTGTGAGATTAAATCTTAAGGTAATTATTCAGCTATTTCTCCGAATTTAACATTTAATTAAAGAAAATTATTTAATTGTCTAATTTAAATGTGTTAAGAAGAGGGTGTTTTGCTGGCCGAAAATGAGGTCCGATTCATGACAACACCCTGATCTTAATGTTCAGAACTCTGGGTGGAGCTGTTGCACTGTGCACATTAGTTGATGATGAGTCTGGCAGACATCAAAATATCACAAGCTTTCCAAGGAAAGTATTTTATCTTTCCGGGTCCATTTGGAAAAAGCACATTTATTTTAAATTACCCAAGACCTGAGGCAACTAATACCGAACCCGACCCGTGTCTGAGGCACTCGTCGAAGTTTTGGACCCGAACCCTCTCGGGTCGGACCTCGGGTTTTCGGATCGGACCCGTGAAGACCTCTAGTTTGACCATCCCAACTAATCTGACAGCAACATTTGGCAAAATGTAACTAGTAGCACAGAAAGCAGTGGCCTGTTTTTTATTCTTAAAGTGACAAATCAAGTCAGTCAATCAAACGGTCATTCGCTGGCACAGATGGAGCACCATTTGATGTGCGCCGACATGTCTTGAGACCGAGGAATAGTCCTTCTCAACATAGTTAATGAGCTGGAATGTTTTCTCGCTCATTCCCACCCGCACGATTCCCTCAGGTGACTGGTGGTTTTAATTAATGATTTTAGTCTGATAAATCATTGTGTAATAAGACTTCTGTACATGATCCACTAGTTGTATTCAGCATGAAGGCTGGTTTGGCACAGGCGCAGGTTAAAGTCTTGGTTTCTCCTCCACCATCTCTCTATGTGTGTTTTTAGCCTGTATTCTAAGAGCTTGTGCCAAAACGCCTATGTTGTGCTGCTCTTTTCAACATGTTCACTCTTGACGCCACCTGGCACAGAAGACCCGATGATTTTTGTGCAATTGTCATAGCTTGAAAGAAAAATTGAGAATTGGAAAAACCACACAGCTTTTGATAAGTGCATCAACAATGTGTTGATGATATGGTTTACTTATTAGCCCACCTTCAAGGTTTTTCTGGTCTCTAGATGTGATCAGTTTATATGAGCAAGGCTGTTTACTCTCCACCCTTAAAGGGGTCATATGATGCTGCTAAAAATAACTTTATTTTGTGTATTTGCTGTAATGAAATGTGTTTAATCCAATCAATGCCTGATGAATACAATCAAGTCCCAAGTTACAATTTTTTTTCTTCAAACATCCTGTTTCACTTGAAAACACAATGTATCACAACAGTAAAGTGGTTTGTGAACATTTCAGACTGAATACATTACAGTTTTAAACTAAAATAGGCGTAATATTTAGAGATGTGCATAATATTCATTTTATCTTTGGCCAATAATAAGATAATTTTTTTTATTTATTGTACCGGTTTATACTGCATATGCAATTGAACATATTCTGTTTTAACATTTAGATTATCTTTGCCGTCATCTAATGCAGTTTGGGGTAAGATTTATTTATTTATTTATTTTTTAAAATAAGTCTCTTATGCTCCCCAAGGCTGCATTTATTTGTTCAATAATACAGTAACAACAGTAATATTATGAAATATTGTTACAATTTAAAATAAATATTTTCTAATTTAATATATTTTAAAATGTAATTTATGTGACACGAAGCTGAATTTTCTGCATCATTACTCCAGTCTTCAGTGTCACGTGATCCTTCAGAAATCATTCTAATATGCTGATTTGCTGCGCAATAAGCATTTATTATCATTAATATTGAAAACCATTGCTAAAATATTTCTGTGGAAACGTTTTTAGAATTCTTTGATGAAAAGAAAAAATGTATTTTAAATCTAAATCTTTTGTAACATTATAAATGTCTGTTCTGTCACATGATCAATTTACATTTCAGACTGAATACATTACAGTTTTAAACGAAAATAGGCGTAATATTTAGAGATGTGCATAATATTCATTTTATCTTTGGCCAATAATAAGATAATTTTTTTTATTTATTGTACCGGTTTATACTGCATATGCAATTGAACATATTCTGTTTTAACATTTAGATTATCTTTGCCGTCATCTAATGCAGTTTGGGGTAAGATTTATTTATTTATTTATTTTTTAAAATAAGTCTCTTATGCTCCCCAAGGCTGCATTTATTTGTTCACTATTCACGAACGGCTTGTAACACTCCAAAGAGAAAGGAAAACTTGAAATCGCATCATATGACCCCTTTAAACACATCTACAATCTGCAAATGGCTTATTTATAGCTGTCTCTATATATTAAACTGTTATAGAAGAAAGTATTTTAACATCAAAACAATTACACACTTTAACATCAAACTTAATCAGATTTTCAAAGCAGAATTGGCATTTGCCAGATGAAGTAATCTAGGATCAGGTTTACTCACCTCAGTACTGTCAGCTGTGCCGACGGTCCTACAGCTGTTCCTGATCACAGATCAGATGCCCCGGCCTCAGGGATGGACACGGTCATTATGGATGAAGTAACAATCGGGATACAGATCACTTGATAAGAGATCCACTAATATCAAAGGTGCACGCACACACACACACAAATCAATATCTGTCTCTCGTTTCTATTCACACATATGTTCAGCTACACTCCATGCTGATGTGCACTTGTAGTTTGCCAAAGGGAAACACCAAGTCTGGAAAGCCCTGGCAAAACCACAGAGGAATCCTGATGAACAGAGAGAAATACAGTTACTAAAAGTGTATAAATATTCGGATAAAGAAAGCCATTGTTCGTCACACACAAGATGCCTTTTCATTTCAGTTTGAGAAAAATGGTTCATGTAAGCCCTCGCAGGCAAACTGTATTTGATGTTTAATTCGCTTTCTGTGATGCCACGGATGCCAGGCGGTTATTTGCGCTCATCACATGAGTGTAATCTCGCGGCGCCTACGCCCGGCCCAGATTTCTCTCAAAACATCCATCACTATCACAGAAGTCTGCAAATGAAACTCATTCAATATCCATCAATCTCCAGCATTCAGACAGGTTTGAAAACTACTGAAATAATCGCATCCGTTTCATCTGTTTCGCTTAAAAGAACCATTTGATTGATGCTTTTATGAAACTGGAACGGTGCTATAAAGAAGTGCAACCAGGATGTTCTATACCAGGGTTCCTCAAATCTTGTCCTGGAGGGCCAATGCGCTGCAGAGTTTAGCTCCAACCCTGATCAAACTCACCTACCTGTGATTTTCTAATGATCCTAAAGACATTGATTAGCTTGCTCAGGTGTGTTTGATTAGGGTTAGACCTAAACTCTGCAGGAAAGTGGATCTCGTGGGCCAGATTTGAGGATCCCTGGTCTATACAGTACACAATGCCTTGAGAATTAGAGCGCAGGTATTTTTGAACCAATCACGTGAGCTGTAAAGGTCATATGGCTAATCAGCGCACAGCGTCTCAAACCAGGCAACGCAAAGTTTCTCCGGAGAATGCAATACTTTTGTGAGAGAACGCAACATTTCTGTGGAAAATGAATGCTTTTGTGAGAGAACGCAACGTTTCTTTGGTAGAACGCAATACTTTTGCAAGAGAACACAAAGTATCTCAGGAAAACGCAATGCTTTTGTGAGAGAATGCCACATTTCTTGGAGACCCCAATACTTTTGGGGGAACGCAATACTTTCGTGAGAGAACGCAGTGTTTCTCAGGAGAATGCAATACTTTTGCAAAAGAACAGTTTCTCGGGAGAACATACTTTTGTGAGAGAATGCAAAGTTTCTTGGGTGAACGCAATACTTTTGCAAGAATACGAAAATGTTTTCAACACTAAAAAATTCAACATTAAAAAATTCTAACTCATGCCATACATTTAAACAGCAGTGTATATCTTCATACATATTGCATATCACATAACTAGTATAAGCAGTATGCTAAATATACATGCGTTTCTTGAACCAACTAATTATATTTGGCTTCATGTCCAAACACAGAGAGACAGCAAAGCCTAAAGGTTAAAGGAACACTCCACTATTTTTGAAAATAGGCTCATTTTCCAACTCCCCTAGAGTTAAACAGTTGAGTTTTACTGTTTTCGAATCCATTCAGCCGATCTCCGGGTCAACTCTTTGGTCTTTTTTGAGCGAGATGCTAACGGTCTAATCAGATTCAATGATCTATGCTAAGCTACAGCTAAAAGTGCTACCGCCAGACTGGGAGATCGGCTGCATGGATTCGAAAACGGTAAAACTCAACCGTTTAACTCTAGGGGAGTTGGAAAATGAGCCTATTTTCAAAAATAGTGGAGTGTTCCTTTAAGCAACACAATTCTCTATGAATGCTCATCTGCTAGTAAACAGATCAAGACGTGCTTCCAGTGATCCGAATGGCCACTGGGATCGTAAGCAGGCATGGCAGATGTTTGTCACTCTGAGATAACCAGTAAAAACACCTCCAGCAGTGTTTCATTCACGACTGTGGCTCTTGTGGATTGTGGCGCGTGGATTTGAGGACAAACTGTTGAATGGCATTCTTCAGCTCTCAATGGAAGCCTTATTTCTCTGTATCTGAAGAAGGGCTCTATATGAAGAAGTCAAGTCAAAGTTTCTCAGATATCAAAGAGTTTGATTTGTGTGGCCCCCTCTGTCTAATCACCCACAGCCCATACTGCCACTTAGAACAAAAGCAGGAAATCATAAACACGGCATGACTCTAATTCTCAACACACCGAGCGTTGAAAGCAGCCGCCCAAAGCCAATTACCCTGCTCCCCCCACCGGGATAATTCATAACATATTCATTTATGCATGTGTCAGAGATCTCTGATACACATTCAGTCCTATACAGGCCTCCATGGAAGCTTGTTTCCACCACAGGATTAAACATTTTTTAAAGTTAATTGCGACTTTTTATCTCATAAACACGGCATGACTCTAATTCTCAACACACCGAGGTCCTATACAGGCCTCCATGGAAGCTTGTTTCCACCACAGGATTAAAATTTTTTTAAAGTTAATTGCGACTTTTTATCTCACACTTAAGTTTTTTTCCCCCTTGCAATTCTAAGAAAAACGTCAGAAATGTGAGAGATACACTCAGATTAATAATACACAAATGCAGAAATGCGAGATGTAAACTAAAAATATATAAAGAAAAGTTAGAAATGTGAGAAAAGTTGCAATTGCCTTTATTTTATGGCAGTAACAAGAAGAAAAAAAAACAATTGTGAGATGCAAACAGAATTCAAAGAAAAAAGGCCTAATTGTGAGAAAGTCAAAATTCTGAGTCTATCACTCACAATGCAGATTTTTTCCTCATAAATCTAAGAAAAAGTTAGAAATGTGAGATATATACTTAGAACTGCAAGATATGAACGCAGAATTATGTTATGTAAACATCGAATTGTGAGATATAAACTTGTAATTCTGAGAAATGCTAACGGTCTAATCAGATTCAATGATCTATGCTAAGCTACAGCTAAAAGTGCTACCGCCAGACTGGGAGATCGGCTGCATGGATTCGAAAACGGTAAAACTCAACTGTTTAACTCTAGGGGAGTTGGAAAATGAGCCTATTTTCAAAAATAGTGGAGTGTTCCTTTAAGCAACACAATTCTCTATGAATGCTCATCTGCTAGTAAACAGATCAAGACGTGCTTCCAGTGATCCGAATGGCCACTGGGATCGTAAGCAGGCATGGCAGATGTTTGTCACTCTGAGATAACCAGTAAAAACACCTCCAGCAGTGTTTCATTCACGACTGTGGCTCTTGTGGATTGTGGCGCGTGGATTTGAGGACAAACTGTTGAATGGCATTCTTCAGCTCTCAATGGAAGCCTTATTTCTCTGTATCTGAAGAAGGGCTCTATATGAAGAAGTCAAGTCAAAGTTTCTCAGATATCAAAGAGTTTGATTTGTGTGGCCCCCTCTGTCTAATCACCCACAGCCCATACTGCCACTTAGAACAAAAGCAGGAAATCATAAACACGGCATGACTCTAATTCTCAACACACCGAGCGTTGAAAGCAGCCGCCCAAAGCCAATTACCCTGCTCCCCCCACCGGGATAATTCATAACATATTCATTTATGCATGTGTCAGAGATCTCTGATACACATTCAGTCCTATACAGGCCTCCATGGAAGCTTGTTTCCACCACAGGATTAAAATTTTTTTAAAGTTAATTGCGACTTTTTATCTCACACTTAAGTTTTTTTCCCCCTTGCAATTCTAAGAAAAACGTCAGAAATGTGAGAGATACACTCAGATTAATAATACACAAATGCAGAAATGCGAGATGTAAACTAAAAATATATAAAGAAAAGTTAGAAATGTGAGAAAAGTTGCAATTGCCTTTATTTTATGGCAGTAACAAGAAAAAAAAAACAATAGTGAGATGCAAACAGAATTCAAAGAAAAAAGGCATAATTGTGAGAAAGTCAAAATTCTGAGTCTATCACTCACAATGCAGATTTTTTCCTCATAAATCTAAGAAAAAGTTAGAAATGTGAGATATATACTTAGAACTGCAAGATATGAACGCAGAATTATGTTATGTAAACTTCGAATTGTGAGATATAAACTTGTAATTCTGAGAAAAGCCAGCATTGCGAGAAAATTATAAATCAGAATTTATACTGATTATATCTCACAATTCTGACCTTTATTCTCAGAATTTCGTTTTTTAATTTAGTAGCCAAGTTTATATTTTGCAATTTTGACTATTTTCTAAGAATTGCAACTTTTTATCTCGCAATCCTGCATTTTTATTTCAAAATTGGGAGACAAACTCAGAATTGCGAGACAGTTTGAATTGTGAGATAAAAAGTCACAAGTACCTTTTTTAAACGTAATTTTATTATTTTGTTATTGCATGGCAGAAATGGGCTTCCGTAGTCCTCAATTCAAAGAAAAAAGGCATAATTGTGAGAAAGTCAAAATTCTGAGTCTATCACTCACAATGCAGATTTTTTCCTCATAAATCTAAGAAAAAGTTAGAAATGTGAGATATATACTTAGAACTGCAAGATATGAACGCAGAATTATGTTATGTAAACATCGAATTGTGAGATATAAACTTGTTGTAATTCTGAGAAAAGCCAGCATTGCGAGAAAATTATAAATCAGAATTTATACTGATTATATCTCACAATTCTGACCTTTATTCTCAGAATTTCGTTTTTTAATTTAGTAGTCAAGTTTATATTTTGCAATTTTGACTATTTTCTAAGAATTGCAACTTTTTATCTCACAATCCTGCATTTTTATTTCAAAATTGGGAGACATAAACTCAGAATTGCGAGACAGTTTGAATTGTGAGATAAAAAGTCACAAGTACCTTTTTTAAACGTAATTTTATTATTTTGTTATTGCATGGCAGAAATGGGCTTCCGTAGTCCTCAAGAGGATGATATTAGCTTGTGAATTTAAAATAGAATACTAACTACTAACTAAATACTGTACGGTATATAAACTGTATACTGCTAGTACTGTGACTTAAACAGTAAGTTAAACTGTAGCCATTATTCCATCACACACGTTTCAAACAAAAGTTTGTTTTCACATGACAGTCACTTTACATATGAGTGCTGTCCAGATACCATCTTGGAAATAAAATAGTTTTTCATTTTCAAATCAATTTTGTGTTGAACAACAACAAAACACTTTCCAGTCACATCTGTTAATCAACCATAATCAACAATTCACCAATGCTGAGGAATAAACTCGCTTATACATCATAAGGGACCTTGAACGGTTTCATATAATTTTGTAATTTTTTTTATTGAAGAACCTCAAAGGAGCGTTTCTTAAAAATATCTGCACATGATTTCTGGTCGCTTGGCAGATGGAGGGGTGGAAACCATAGTAACAGTCTCCATAGTTACACAGCTGTTCCTCTCTCCAGGTTCTGTTTGATCTCCGCGGTGTATTTGCCGTAGAAACGTTCAGCCTTCTTGTTGAATTTAGCATTTCTCTCATTGATATAATCGATGTCAGCGTCGTCGTTGTAGGCCCTGCGGCGACTGTATTTCGAGCGCTTTTCAATCCTAAACACACAAAAAGACATTTATGGAGATTACACACACATTGTTTACTCTTAGGAAAAATTCCACAAACTTCCAAACATTTTAAAATCTGATTTGAAATATGTTCAAAATGTTTAAGAAAGAACTAAGAAAGAAAGTAAAAAATAATCCAGGAAACTGTTTTTCACTAAATGAACAAGAAAAAAAACAACATTTAATTTACTGCAAAAAATAAAAATAAAATAAATAAATACAATACAGTTACTTTTATGAACATAAACGCAAATGAACATAGACTTTTGAACTGATTCAATGAAACAGATGGTTTGAAATGATTCACAGAAACAAACTTACAGAATCGATCATTGTTTTTGATACTGAAGTTCGAATCAGAGAAGCTAATTAAAATATGTTTTATTGCTCTCAAACTCAAGTCATAAACAAAATGATTGTAAAACCCAAGACACTCTTTAGGCAGTGTTGTTACTATGAACCAAAACTAAAACTATTATAAATAATTTTCATTCATTGAAATGAAGCTGAATAAAAAAAAAGTAAATATTAGATTTAAAAAAACTAAAGAAAAAAGGTCGCTTAAGCCAACTAACTGAAATTTAAGAGCTAAAATTATTAAAACAGAAATACAAATAAATGAAAGCGATATATTTATGTATATTGATATAATTTATTTTATTTAAATTAAAAACAAAGCTAATAAAAATGACAAATGCACAAAACTAATTTACTGAAACGAAAATTAAAATACTACTACTAATATATGAACAATATTAAAATAACATTAACTTTAGGAAACATAATGGTCAAAAACAGTACATTAAAGTCTGCTGCAAAATCATCACGCAAACACCACACATTAGCTATATTACCCAGCTGTATTCTGTAGCCATTCATTTCCAAGTCTGATGCTTCAACAGACAATGTCAGTTTTCAAAGTCCATCGAAGAGACTCACGTGCTCTCCACACACACGGTTCTTCAAACATCTTCAAAGTGTGTTTGTGCGTCATGATCTGGCAGCCGTAGCCCTGTCTAATGTCTCTCAGAAGCGAAAAGCAGCTCCTCCAAAATAGAAGAATACCGTCTCGCGCATAAACAAACCCTCGCCGGCGCACACATCCATGTGCAACAGACACAAACACATCTGGAGCGAGGAACAAACACACGAGGCCGTGCTCTCAGAGTGCTCTAAAATTGGCTGCAACATCACATTCAAAATAGCCGCTATCTGCTCTATCTCTGATGGAGAAACGCTGAGGTGTGCGATTAGAAATAGATCTGTTCACCAGTAGGGTTGTGACGGTGAGGAAATTTTCCCACTTGTTAATCGACGTGTGACAACACCATACATACCGGTATCACCGCGGGGCGTTCCCTCTTTTCCTCGCTTTCCATCGCTTTTAAATAGCTTGTAAAAGCTGCATGCACATTTTACTTTCACTTTCAAATAGCGGCAATTTGGCGTAAAGCAATTGTTCATTTTTAGTTTGTTTGAATTTCCCCTCTTTTCCTCGCTTTTATATAGCATAAAAGCGCCGTGCGCATTTTACTTTCACTTGCGAATTAGCGGCAGTTCGGTGGCAAGCCTACTCACCAGGTGATTCTGCAGTGTGTAAGATCTGAAATCGAACAGATTCCCTGCGTGAACACAAACACAGATTCTTACTGTTTCTCCACGTCGTCCACCATGCGGTCGACGCTCTCTTTAGACGGGACGTGCGTGCCGTGAATCAGACTGTTGGAGGTGGGGTGGAAATCTTCTCCACTAGGAGCAAAAGAGACATGGGCAAATCGTCAGCTTTTTTTTTTTATATAGAGTGTTTCATTTATTTACCATTACACCACCAGAACAGCAATTCAAAATTGACTTTTGAACAGCAATAAAGCTTGACTTGTGTGCTTTATTTAAGCTTTATTTCTCATCATAATCATAAAAACACTAGTTTGTAACGCAAATAGTTTTTCCGTTTACAGCACTTTGTTATTCTTCTAGTAATTTACAATAGCAGTTTCGCACACACACAGGAAATAGCTTAAAAGCTCATTTGTTGTTAATATTTGTTACTACATGTTGTTTCTATTTCAAATAAATGCTGTTCTTTTGAACTTTCTATTTATCAAAGAATTCTAAAAAATGTATCGAGGTTTCCAAAAATATTTTCAACCTTGATAATAAGAAATGTTTCTGAATGAATTTGAATTAAGGTAGCAAACAGGATGCAGAATTCCAGTTCAAGTTTGAATTTTGAAGGAACTTCAACTGTCATTTTTAAACTTTTAAAGCATGAAGTTTAAGTGAAACTGAATGTTGGCTTGATAAAACCTTTTTTGTTGTTGTTGAGTGAAGGTTTATACGGTTGTACAGATTGATGGATAAATATTTTTACATTTTGTGTTTATTTTAAAAGACATTAATACTTTTATTCATCAAGGATGCATTAATTTGATTAAAAGTGACCGTAATCTAACAGATTTCTGATGGATATTGTGACACTGAAGACTGGAGTAATGATGCTGAAAATTCAGCTTTGATCACATGAATAAATTACATTGTAAAATATATTACAACAAAAACAGTTATTTGAAATTGTAATAATATTTCACAATATTACTGTACTTTTGATCAAAGAAATGTAGTCTTGGTGAGCATAAGAGACCTTTTTTTTTATTTTACAGACCCCAAACTTTGTAAAAAAAAAAAAAAAAAACCTAATGCAGAAAAAAACCTAGGAAATTAAATTAACACTTATTTTACACAATATTTATTCAAACATCACTGTCTCCAATTCAAAAATTATTACTGGGGACCAAAACTGGTCTCTATTTTAATTTTACCTTTAAATGCTTAGTTCACCCAAAAATGAAAATTCTGTCATTAATTACTCACCCTCGTGTTGTTCGAAACCCGTAAGACCTTCGTTCATCTTCGGAACACAATTTAAGATATTTTTGTGGAATAAAGTCGTTATTTTTGTTTTCTTTGCGCAAAAAAGTATTCTCGTAGCTTCGTAACTTTACAGTTGAACCACTGATGTCACACGGACTACTTTGTCGATCATCTTGGTACTTTTCTGGACCTTGAACGTGGTAGTTACCTTGCTGTCTTTGGGAGGGTCAGAGAGCCCTCAGATTTCATCAAAAATATCTTAAATTGTGTTCCGAAGATGAACGAAGGTCTTGCGGGTTTGCAACAACACGAGGGTGAGTAATTAATGACAGAATTTTCATTTTTGGGTGAACTAACCCTTTAAGTATCTATCTTCACTAGGAATGTTATAATCGCCATTAATACCATGAGACAGAAAACCTTCATATGACAAAATAAAAAGTCAGTCTCAAATACAGGAACTACTGTTAGAGGTTGTTTCCAGTATCAAATCCATAGTCTTGAATGAAAAACAGCCAGTTCCAATAGCGTGTGTATCTTTCAGACGTAGAATGAGTATAAATAAAGTCTCACCATTCCTCTCTCTGTCTCTCATAGTTCGCCATATCCGGCTTGATCTGCTTCGTCAGTCTCTGGTACTGTCTCAACTGGGCCTCAGCGTATCCTAGACACACACACACACACAGATGAATACAAACACACATCCAGCTGTAGGGGTCTGAGAGGGGAAAGGGGCTCTTACAGGGAGAAGCAGAAGGAAAATGATAATAATTACCAGAACCAATGATAACCAGGCGTGAAACACAAGCTCTGCATGTTTTCATTTTCACATGTTTGGCATCACACAAGGCAACCACATTCCCTCTCACTCTCAGCCAATCAACGAGGCTCCTCATTAACCTGCATATGTAAATGAGACGAGCGTTTCATACCTGAGAATCCTGGATCTGGGTTTTTCTTCTTTTTCTTTCTCTCCCATCTCTCTGCATCTTCAGCGCTGATCTCCAGGAGCTTTACGCGGTTGTAGTCCTCGCCACGCTCTGCACATTCCTGACGCACAAACACAATTCACAACTTTACACACTCATACTGACACGCCATATAATCAGAATTGCTGCTTGATTGATATGGGGCTTTTAATGGCCGATACTGGTACATAGAGAGCAGGGAGGCCAAATGACAGCAAATACACTACAGTTTAAAAGACTGGGGTCAGCAAGATTTTTTAAATAAAATTAATACTTTTATTCAGCAAAGATGCATTAAATTAATCAAAAGTGACAGTAAAGACATTAATAATGTTGGAAAAGAAAAATATTTCAAATAAATTCTGTTCTCTCAAACTTTCTATTCATCAAAGTATGCAGAAAGAAAATGTATAACAGTTTCCAAAAATATGAAGCGGCACAACTGTTTTCAACAACGATAATAATAAGAAATGTTCCTTGAGCAACAAATTAGGATATTAGAATGATTCTAATATCAGCATATTAGAAGGATCATGTGACACTGCAGACTGGCGTAATGGATGCAGAAAATTCAGCTTTGCATCAGGAATAAATTACATTTTAATATATATTCAAATTGAAAACAGTTATTTTAAGCTGTAATAACATTTCTGACTGACTGACTTCTTCAGACCACAAATAAACATATTTAAACATATTAACACTCATTTTTGCATTATAGTCAATGTCATAGTGTAATGAACTCATTCATCTTAAAACATCAGAAAACATGTATATCTAATACAAACCAGTGTCACAGCTTTGTCTTAACCAACTTTGTGAGTTTGGTCTCTATGTGTGACCATTCACAGGCAGCATGTAGTGTTTGTGTTGTCATTATTTTTGCAACTCTGTTTGGTTGAGTAGAATCGACAGGCTTAAAATCTGATACCGTACCTTCTTCTTCTGGTCTACAATGAGTTCATACTCCAGACGGGCTTTCTTGGCCTCCCAGTTTGACGGCAGCTTCAGTCTCTTGTCCTCTTCCACCACCTCCTGATGATTCAGCTTACGGGCCTCATTCTACCAACAGAACACAACCACATTTCATACGGATGTTTAATAGAGCAGATTCTGTTGTGCTGTGTGTCGATAGTTTTCACCTAAAGCAATATCAGCACACAGTTTGCTCTCAATCTACACCAACTACACTAAAGCTCCTTTCACATGACGTATGTTAAGGATTCAACACATGGCTCACCACAAGAGTAATGCCTTCCTCTTAAGGCAAGATACCACAGGGGAATAGGATAAATGTATTTTAGATGTTTTCTTTCCAATAGTCTGAAAGAAGACATGTTATGGAAGCAAAATAGCCTAAAATCTCCAATTTGACCAGTACTTGAACAAGCAATGTATTTTCTTGCCTTAAAATCCAATCACAAGTGGCCACAGGAAAAGAATGTTGCTACCAAGTGTGAAACGTGATCCGTCTCATCTGACTATCTGTGATACGTCCTCTTTTTCCCAGACATGTCCTGGCCAGGATTTCTCAATTGCCTAAAAGGTCCAGGTTTTGGCTTAGTTTACTTATTGTTTTCATACTTGCTGAAGGTAATAACTGAAAAATAATTTCACCAATAGCATGCTTTATTGTACATAATCAACCAATCGTAGTGATTGCAAGAAAGTGCGATCTACAGAGAACAAGCAAAGCAATGTAAATGCACATGCATATACACTGCTGTTCAAAAGCTTGCAATCAGTGAGATTTTTTACGTGTTTAAAGAAGTCTCTTCCGTTCATCATGGCTGTATTTATTTGACCTAAAATACAAAAAAAAAAAAAAAACAGTAATATTGTAAAATATTAGAGCTGCCCCCTAATAGTCGACTAATGGTTAGTCGACGAGAAGAGGCTTGGTCGACCAAAATTCCATTAGTCGCAGAAAAAAAAAATTCCACGAAGTGGCGAAATCATAAAATACAGCAAAAACAGTAACATTTTGTATATTTTTACTAATTAAAATAACTGTTTTCGCTTTGGAAATATTTTCAAATGTAATTTATTTCTGTGATTTCAAAGCTCAATTTTTAGCATCATTACTCCATTCACATGATCCTTCAGAAATCATTCTAATATGCTGATTTATTATCGATTTTGGATCTTGCTGCTTAATATTTTTTTGGAACCTGTGATACTTGCTTCAGGATTATTTGATGAATAAAGTTAAAAAGAACAGCATTTATTTAAAATATAAATCTTTTCTAACAATATAAGTCTTTATCACTTTATCAATTTAACACATCCTTGTTGAATAAAAGCATTCATTTCTTTCAAAAAAAAAAATTACTGACCCCAAACTTTTGAACGGTAGTGTATACTGTTACAAAAGTTATTTCAAATAAACACTGTTCTTTTTAATGTTTTATTTATTAAAGAATCCTGAAAAAGTATCACAGGTTCCAAAAAAAAAAAAAAAAATATGAAGCAGCAAAACAATATTGATATTAAATCAGCATATTAGAATGATTTCTGAAGGATCATGTGACACTGAAGACTGCAGTAATGATGCTGAAAATTCAGCTTTGATCACAGCAATAAATTATATTTTAAAGTATATTAAAAAAAGAAAACCAGTATTTTAAATTGCAATAATATTTCACAGTATTACTATTTTTTTTCTGTATTTCTGATCAAATAAATGCAGCCATGATGAGCAGAAGAGACTTCTTTAAAAAAAAAACATTAAAAATCTTACTGATCCCAAACTTTTGACCGGCAGTTTAATGCATGAGGACTGTAGAGAGCACGTCAATATGAAAACAAAGCCAAAATGCGGACATTTGGGCCCTAGTGATATGATCGCATCACTCGAGACAGATGTTAAAACCAGGGCATTAATAAACTGGGTATTAGTTTTAATAAACAGTCTGGGCTTATGGATTCCACTGATATGAAGTCAAATGTGCTGTAGTTACCCTCTTGAAATGAAGCTCTCTGAACTTTCTGAGTCTCTCTTCTCTCTTCTCAGCTGCTGGAGTCTCTGTGGTTTCCTCTGCATTGCTGGCAGCAACAACCTGCACAGCGAATGTACCGCAAACAAGGCTTAATAATGTCATTTCAGTGACAGCTAAATCATAATCAGAACACTGAAATCTCTCATGTCACATTCAGCAAACCAAATCAACAGCATTAATCACGCAGAGGCTGATGTTAGCACCTTTAGCTTTGACTAGAAGAACAGCGCTCTGAAAACCGACACGCTAAAACGACCATTTCACGACTAACAGAGAATGATTACTGATCAAAAATAATGTATAATATATAAACAATAAAGACACCTGTTAGGTTAACTCTTAAAGAATTAGGAAATCGTGTTTTTGTTTACCTCTGCGCTAGACGCCATTGCTTCTTTCAAAGAGGAAGTACGTCACGCATTTCAGCTCGACACTTCTGTTATATTTTTATCCAGCATTTCTACACACTTAACTTCGTTCAGCATTTGAAATGACTTTCAGCTCGACTGCGATCTAATGACCTAATATGTAGTTCCGCTTTCTTAGGAGTTTCCTGGCTAAAAAGAACATACAAAATACCAGGTAAACAACAGTAAGAAAAATCTGAATACAATTCCAAGAAGTCCAAATAGCAGCATAACAAAGAAAAATATATACACTAAATAAACATAATTAGAATATTAAGAAAGAAAAATAAATAAGTACAGAAAAAAAAATACAAGGGGCTTGGTCATCAAAAAATGCATTCAAAAGATTACATAGTTTAAGGGCTTTTTTTTAATGACACATGAGTTTTAAGGATTTGAAGAAGACCAATAAATCTTTCTGGAAAAGTAAGAAAGTTGGGGGGCATTTATGAATCATGGCCATATTAGTAAAACAGCAAAGAATAACAACTGGTAATTATAAAATGTGACAGATTTACATTTACATTTAATCATTTAGCAGACGTTTTTTTATCCAAAACGACTTACAAATGATGACAGATCTTTGAAACAGTAAGATATTTTTTTATTGATTTATTTATTCTATTAATGAGGTTTAGTTTGCTTTCATCTGCTTATCAATGTTTCGGTTCAATTATAAATATTTTTTAAATTTATTATCATTTTTTAAAATCATAATTGTATTTATTGTATTTTCATTTATTTTATTTATTCTTTTATTGTTATTCTTTTATTTTTATTTGTTATTTTTTGCTTATGTTTGCCCTTTTGTGTGTGCGCAGGCCTTTGGTTTTCCTCTTGTTTGTTACATGCGAAATGTTCTGTAGATATTCTTTAATGTTGTCATGAAAATGTTTGTATTTTAGATTTTTTTTAATAAAAAATAATAATACCCATCATACATATTATTTATATATTAATATATTAATTCTGTTGAAATGAACACATAATACTTAACCTGATGGCTAACAGGGTGAATGAAGTTGCAGTGGTTCAAACACAATGGCTCTGGACTCATCTGCTATGTGTCATTGACATGAACTCCGCTGCTCCTCTGGTCTGATTATGTAGAATTAAGTTCTCTTTAAGGGGATGTAATTAACCAGAGTTTACAGTTTCAGATTAAAGCAACCTCTAGATCAGAAGCCACACTAATGAACTGATGTGCTTGTTCTGCAATCCAGATGGAACAAAAACCAAACCACCCTCAAACACACAAGACCTAACAGCAAGTCAGTGCATTTTATGATATTTTATTTTTGCCACAAGAATTTAATTTAGTAAAAAAAAAATACATAGCAATTATTTTCCTGAAATTTATATGAATATTAAATATCAGATTCTCTTTGCAATCATGTGGTGTAGTTCCAGCATTTACCAGCAGAGGCTAACTGAGCCATGCTAACTAGCTAACTAGCTAACCTTCAGATTCATTAGGCACATGACATGTACAGCTCAGGTGTCTGAGTCAAAAAATTCTGGAATATTTCAAGTCATTTACATCCAGGAAGGAACAGCATCAGATAGTTTTCTCTAGGTATTCTACATTTCCTTGATTTGGTCAGGCTGCCAGATGACATATTTGCCCAAAAGTGAAATAAAATAAGGCCAAATAAATGGGTGGCACTCACATGAGGTCATGCTTGAAACATGTACAGTGCAATAATGCCTGCTGTTTCACTTACTGTATTCAAAAAGATTGTGTGCGGGCTGCTGTATATTGACAGTATTCAGAGAATAGCAAGCCGAACAGGTTTTCGTCATTCAGCTGTATTCCATTAGCAAACTACATAAAACTATTGTGTTGTTTGATTAATAGATGCGTCCTCCATTTGGATTCACAGCTCAGACCAGCCCTGGTGTGTTCAGCTGCCTGACATCTGGTATAGAAAACACAGCCAATAAAATCATACCATTTCACTAATTACTATTTCTTTCATTTCCGCTGCCAATGAGCAACTTGAACAGGCCAAACCAAACAGAGCTCTGACTGCAGCATGCCAGCTCAGTTACCCACCGAAGGAGGGTCCAAACATGGGCACACAGGGTATTGTTAGGTGGGCTGATTATAAAGTGTCAAACCCAGTTTTGATGATGCCATTTGTGCATGATTATGAAAGTAATACCTGAAACAGCTACTGCAATAGAAATCAACAGTGACAGAAAATAAATAGGGAAAATAAACAGTACAGTACAATTCTTTTACAAGGGCAGACATGTGTGCTATACACTCTCAGGAAAAAAGGTACAAAAGCTGTCATTGGGATGGTGTAATTTGAAAAGGTACACCTTATTTACCCCTAAATGGTACATATTTGTACCTTTTGAAAAGGTAACACCCCAGTGACAACCTTTATACCTTTTTTTTCCTGAAACTGAACTTAAACTTCTTGGACAGGGAACGATTCAAACAGTTTAAATATGCTTTCCATTGAGGAAAAAAAGAAGTCTGGTTTCGGGCTGTGCCACGCTAACCACCGCACAGACACGATAACACGGAGCGGATCACATGCGTGAGTCGGCGCAGACCACAAAATGTATCGGAGCTATTTGAATTCTACACAGAATGCTATATTTTATAGCAATATGGATGAGATTGTGGTGGCTGGCATACCCTGTTAAATGCGGCTTTACGGAGCTCAACGGCGATGAACGGCTCTATCCCAAGCTGTGATATAAACGAACGCTATTGGCTATTTTAAAAAGGGGCGGGGCTGATTGATATGTCCCGCCCTGTCTTCCTGTTTCAGTTAAAATTACGTCAACACAGAGAGTACACTGCCTGTTTCTAAGCATTTCAGGGGACCTTTAAATTCCATTAATTTGAATTAAGGTGGCAAACCTTATGCAGAATTCCAGTTCAAAGTTTGTTTAAAAAACATTGAATTTTGGCTTTAAAAACTCTTTCAAGAGTTTTGAATTTTTTTTTTAAGTGTGACGGTTTATAGACCTTAGACACAGATGGATAAATATTTTTACATTTTGTGTTTATTTTATATACACTGTTGTTCAAAAGTCTGGGATCAGCAAGATTATTATTTATTTATTTATTATTGATTTAAAAAAAAAAGAAATTAATACTTTCAGTCATCAAGAACGCATTAAATTGGTCAAAAGTGACAGTAAAGATGTTAATAATGTTACAAAAAAAACTTTATTTCAAATAAATGCTGTTCTTTTGAACTTTCTATTCATCAAGACTTCATCAAGTTTCCATAAAAATATTAAGCAGCACAACTGTTTTCAACATTGATAATAATCATAAATGTTTCTTAAGCAGCAGATCAGCATAATGACATCTGAAGGATCACGTGACACTGAAGACTGGAGTAATGATGCTGAAAATTCAGCTTTGCATCACAGGAATAAATTACATTTTAAAATATATTCAAATACAAAAGATGATTTACCACAGTTGATTGGTGGTGTACCTGACATGATGACGTAATTTAGGACTCATTGTTACGTGTTATTGCTTTGCATACAAAATCAGCATCTCCATGTGGAAGTATCCAGAAAGCTGAAAATTCATCTTCCGAGTTAAACACATAGCATTAGATCGTTGTAGAAACACACACCTCCCGTGTTCGCTCTGAATCACACGCACATCTCATGTCAGCAGTCTGGTAACTCAAGGCCATGCTGAGCGCCAGTAATTATATGCAACTCATCTGATCGGACTTAATTCTCTGGAATGATTTTATGCTTCGGAAGTAAACTATCATCACTCGTATCCCTGGGGCTCTCATGTGCATGACAGGCTGATAAATATTCTCATAATTATCCCTATAAAATGAGTAACTCCAAAACACTTTTGTTTTTGAACACTAGGCGTAATATATGTTTAGTGCCGCCAACCTTGTCACATGGGATATTTCCGCTGTCAAGGTTACAGTTTTTCTCAGTCGCTTTGGTACATTTCTCAGATCAGAATTGAAATTCTCAAAACTACCTGTTCAATCTTCACATCATTGTGTCACTTGTGCACATCAAAAAAGCAGTTTCTCATTTCTTTGAACAAGTTGCAAATGCTTTGGTACATCCATGCAAATGATTATGTACAATTCTCTGCTGTTTCCTACATTATCAATTGCTTATGTCATGTTGATCAAAATGTATTATAATGGGTCTCTGTTGAATAGTCTCACCCCCCCACCACAACATTTAGGCATTAGTTCATAGCATAAGTCTTTACATGCAAAATGGTTGAACAAGTTGTCATAATATGTCAAGCATATTTCTATACATTTCCATTAGACTTTTTTTCTAAATCTGTCCTGCATTGGTAAATTGCTCCCAGGTGAATCTTGATTTTCTCTAACGAAGGTGCATCTCATGAACCATCAACTGGCAAGTATATATATAGCCGGAGCACAACACAATGTTTCAATGTCTGACAATGGAAGGACAAGGAATTGGACGGGGTCAACAGCCAGAGAGAAGAAGAAGAGGAGTGAGGCTTCGTGGCGGAGGAGTTGGGAGGCAACATATGCGTGTTCCTGATGAGATAAGAGCCACACTTGTAGACCACGTTCTCAATCATGGGCTTACAATGGCCGAGGCTGGTCGAAGGGTGCAGCCAAATGTTGGGAGAACAACTGTGTCCTCAATCATTCAGACTTTTCGTCGACAGAACAGGTATGTAATCTAACAATAGGCACTGTACTGTAATACTGTATACTTTCTGTAATGCTTCATACAATATTACAGTATTCCACTTGAATTTCACAATTTACAGTAAGTATACTTTAAACAGTGACATTTTATCTTACTCAATTTTGTGTTTTGCATTACTATATTTTTTCCACATAGGACTGCAAGACAACTTCACAGGGGTGGCAGAGGGCCCCTTTTCACACCTGAACAGGAGGAGGCTATTTGCACCATGGTTGTAGAAAACAATGCCATAAGACTAAGGGAGATAAAGAGTGCCATTATAGAGGACAACAACATCTTTGAAAACATCCAAACAGTCAGCATCTCAACCATTGAC